TTAGTGAGTGGGAGGCCCGGTGACATTGGTACGCTGATCACATCCATGGAGCAACATCTTTCACACCTGTCCAAATGGTTTGGCAATAACGAAATGAAAATTAACACACACAAAAAAGCACAGTCCATAGTCCTCGGCACGCGTCAAAGTCTTCGGAACCTGCCACCGGCTGGCCGCAAATTTATGGGCGCCACTGTAGACAGCTGTACTTCAGTTCGAAACCTGGGTGTTGCATTTTACTAGCGGATGGCGTTCACTGCGCACACTGATGACGTCGTGCGGCGACGCACTGGCGTTCTTATCGGCCTAAGCCACACCCGGCACAGTTTGCCTCAGCCCACACTCATTACAGCTGCTAAACTTCGCAGCACTAGTCATCTCTGGGCGTCGGAAATATGATCATGTGAGTGATGTATTACGAGATCCCGAGTGGATGTCTGCTGACAACATGTTCTTGTATCATACACTGACACTTCTGAAACGCATCCTGGAAAGGTCCCAGCCGGAGTCACTATCTAATCACCTTATCCATAGACGCCATGTTCACCATCTCACAAAGAGGCAGGATGATGTGTTACATGTGCCGGTGATCAGATCCGAATGGGGAAGGCGGCGTTTTGTTCTCACCACCGTGACCGCCTACAACGCACTACCGCAGAGCAATCGCGACCTGAGCCTTCCACAATTCAAACGCGAGTTGCGTGGTTATATCATGCAGCAGGGGATCAATAACAGATAGCGACGCCTACTTCAAACGACTAGCGAATGTGAGAGAGTGTGTTTTGCGTATGTATGCCTGCGTGTTGTACGCGTTTGCGCGAGCCTCCCTGACCTACAGTGTTTTATTTCCATCGCACGGGCTCTAAAATAACCACATTCTGAGCGGAGTGAGCTTATGAGGCGTATTAAATAAATAAGTAGACTGTACTTTTGCCTGTCAGATGTTTTTGGTAACATGAATCAATTAAAATATTTACCGTCACAATACAAACTGTAGCTGCCGCTTGCGCCTCCGAAAGCATGCCCTGCCCATTAACCCAAATTTGACATTTCAGCCTATCCTGCTACACAACAAAATTACATTGAAAAGCTTGCTTAGGCCCGTGGTTAGCACTTTTACACTGTATGCACAAAACTAGTAGTTGAGGTATTAACATTTTCCAATGCGACGGCGCTTCAAGGAGACTTGTGCGCGACGCATTGAGAACTAAAAACTGGGTAACGCTATTAAAGACACCCTTTAAACAATTTTGAAGGCGCTCTTACGCTATCCCAATTCTATGTCCGGAAAATGCGTCTTAAGTCTCTCAGTGTACTTCTAATGAGCATCATTTCCCTTCCATTTTTCCGACGGGTGGATTTTCAATATCTTAGCGTGAAATTTTACGTAAATAGCGCATCTCCGTTGTAGTAAAATATGCATGATTACTGTTTATGATTTAAGCGTGTGTATTCGTGTGTGTATCTGCATGTGTGCATGCTAATAGATTATGTGACGTGCGTTCTACCGAGGAAAACTGAACAACCATATTTCAGGCCAGCGATATGTATCTCTGCATAATGCACGGGAGTCTCTGATTTCTGGCGTGACAGAAGTGCTTTGCTTAAGTGTATGGCCTTGATCTAAATGGGTTAAATTTGTCGCCATGGGAAAAGGCTGAAAGCTCAGCTCAGTGTAATGCCAGGTAGCAAGAACAACCAGACGGGACTTGAGAACTGATGCGTGAAAGCAGAGGTGAACATGAACCCATTAAGCGGTTGATACGTTGATTGACTTATCTTTTTCGCTAACTGAATAAACTACAACAATAGTTATTATTTTCCGTTGGAGTTTTAGTTCTTACCAATTTTTCATTGACTTCGGAGCGTTAAGCTTGGTGGGGGTGGTTTGGTTCTAGGCGTTTTGGCGATTAGACGGTTCAGGGATACTTATCTATGCGCTTTGGTGGGTATGCGTCCTTTTTCCTTAATCCTTGTCTCATACAGTGAGGGGGTAGATGCTACCCAGTAAGGTTTTCCGAGGATTTCTCTCCAGTGTATCTTGCAATAACGCCTCAATTTTTCGTAGTCCATGGATATCTCGTTATACTTGTTTTGACACCCAAAAACGATTTTCTGGCATGTTTGGTTTCCGAGTGCCGACAGTTTTCAGGAACACTGCACGGCGATCCACATGTGGCGAGAGGACGGGAGGCAAACGACGAATCCACCGAACGCTCGCGGTGGGCCGATATGGTTACATTAACGGAGGCCTACATAACACATATATGCTCAGAACACACAAAACTACCTAACCATACGCTCATAATTAAAGAAGCAACACAAGTGCGTGTTTGTGTGTGTGTGTGTGTGTGTGTGTGTGTGTGTGTGTGTGTGTGTGTGTGTGTGTGTGTGTGTGTGTGTGTGTGTGTGTGTGTGTGTGTGGTGTGCGTGTGTGTCTGTGTGTGTGTTTGTGTTTGTGTGTGTGTGTATGTGTGTGTGTGTGTGTGTGTGTGTGTGTGTGTGTGTGTGTGTGTGTGTGTGTGTGTGTGTGTGTGTGTGTGTGTGTGTCTGTGTGTGTGTTTGTGTTGTGTGTGTGTGTGTGTGTGTGTGTGTGTGTGTGTGTGTGTGTGTGTGTGTGTGTGTGTGTGTGTGTGTGTGTGTGTGTGTGTGTGTGTGTGTGTGTGTGTGTGTGTGTGTGTGTGTGTGTGTGTGTGTGTGTGTATGTTTCATGATGCCACGTGACATGGGTTCATAAATATGGGCATGCACAGTGGAAAAATAGTGGGATATTTAGGAATCAGTTCTCTTTCCCTGGAATATCGCAGTGAATTAATATATACCTGGCAACATATACGCTATCTCCAACGGCGTTTTAGTAGCGTGATCTTGTTGAGATCATATTACTAGCTTTTTTCGCCGAGCGCTAGAACCAGCCTGGAATACAAATTGTTTATGAGGCAGTTAGTAAAACTCAGGTCATAAAACTTAGTTTGAAAGCTTTGTTTTGAAATCGCAAGGGAATTGTCGAATAAGTCCCCCATACTTTCGGTCGGCGTTATGAAAAAGGGCGAGTCAGTTTGTTAAGGAGCCAGGTACTTCCGTAATGGCACGCATGTATTTTTTTACCCTATTCTTACTGCTCAAACTTATGGCTTCTAATCACAGCAATGAGATGCACCTCGAACGAGACGAGCGCGAGTGCGATATGAGCGAGCTGCACCGGTGTTCACACGACGCCCCGGATGCCATACTGGGAGACGAGCGCGAGTGCGATATGAGCCAGCTGCACCGGTGTTCATACGACGCCCCGGATGCCATACTGGGAGACGAGCGCGAGTGCGATATGAGCCAGCTGCGCCGGTGTTCACTTGACGCCTCGGAAGTCACACTGGAGACGAGCGCGAGTGCGATATGAGCCAGCTGCGCCGGTGTTCATACGACGCCACGGATGTCACACTGGAGACGGTATTTATCTGATGGGCATGTTTTGAAAAGATTCAAACATCTTCGGATCTTGCAAAGCCCGAATTCTGAAAACGGGGATTGAAATCTTGAAAATTAGGATTAGATCTTAAAAAAACATAGGATACTGAAGTCACTCATCGTAAGCTTGTTATCACAAATTTCAGGGTATCATCAGCTCCAGCTTACAACCCTTGCATAGCACATAGTAAACTGTGAAATGCACACTTTAGATTAGACGCGATGATTAGACGGCAAGCGTTACGATTAAGCTATTTCAACCTTTTGGACAGATTTAGCTGCATACATCGTGTGATGTCTTCGTCCAGCGGTACGACTCAGCTCGGTCAGAAAGAGACGGCTAACGACGCGGCGATCTGTAATGGACCGAGTCCAGTGGCGTACTGCCCCTGCTATACCAGGCAGGCACGACATAACATTTAGTTCAGGTGAGCTACCACTTATAAGTCAGCTTACACACACGCACCTATCATGCGTCCCGTACGGTCCGCCTCGCGACGGTGGTAAGCGCCCGCGGCGATATGTCGCATTACACCGCGCGGCCGAGGCCGCGGCGCGACACGGCAGGGGCGGCATGCTGTGCCTCTGTGAAGGCTGGGCGTGCTCACAACACATCAGGCAATGGAAACGATTAAAATATTAAAACCCCGTTTCTGAGCCACGGCTCAGAGGCAATTCAAGCATTACCGGCAAAATAAGCGGCCAAACAGATGAGTGTTCGAAGCACATTTTGCATCACGCGAACTTGCCTCCCAGCCACAGGTAAACAACGTTCCATTTCATTCGACGTGGAAGCATAATTCATCTTCGTTAAAGTGCTGCCATTTTGGATGTTCATCCCATTAACATTAAGCACAAATAATCGAGCAGTGGCCCGCAAGCTGATCTGCAAGCTGCCTTTCAACAATCAACACTAGCTGATGACGAAATTAATAGGATCGCGTGCTCAAAAATGACAACCGTAAAGCACGCGATGTTCTAAACATACTGCACCTAACTAAGGTGCCAAGGTAGATACATGTGTGTGATGCCACTGCAACTGTAGGTGCATACGGTTATCTCCTTGAGACTTCGGCTTGTCTCGTAATTGAAGGTGATCGTGCTTCTCTCTGATTGTGGTTTTCCACTCTCTCGTAAGTCTTTGGCAGTGCTAGACGCGTACATCTGCAAGACTGGCACATGTCCAGAAAAAGTCCCTTGCCATGTTGGCGGCGGCGAATGCAAGGAGAGGCGGATGAAGCATGGCGCCCGGAAACCAACGTTGGGAGGTGGACTGCAGCGCACGCTCCGAAATGTCCTACATTAACACCGAGCTCCTCCGATGAGAACAAATATAGTATCGCGAGCGCATGTTCCATCCATCTTGCAACTGAGCCACCAACATGCACAGATGAGGTCGTGCCATTTGTACGCCCCTGCGGCTCATGGCGGACCTCAGTCCAGAGCTTGCATGTCTCTTGCCTTCTTTGTAGTTAATCCGCCCACGGAGTTAATCCGAGACTTCGGCCGGCCCTTGTCAGTGCCACGGACCCGCTGAGAGCGAGCACACCCGTCGCTCTCCCGCTCGGCACTGTCGTCCCCCGCACAGCGACGATGGCCGTCCTGCTACGGAGCGCGCCGGCGGTGCTGCTGAGTCTGACGCTGCTGCTGACCGCAGCGGCCGGCTACCCCGACGTGCAGTCCCGCCCGCTGGTCGCCACGCGAGAGGGCATCGTCAGGGGCGTGGCGCGGCGCAGCGCCGCCGGCGGCCTCTTCTTCGGCTTCAAGGGCATCCCGTACGCGCGCGCGCCGCTCGGGCCACTCCGCTTTCAACCGCCGCAACGCCACCCGGGCTGGGCGGACGTGCTGGACGGCCTCAAGCACGGCCGCACGTGTCTGCAGTACAACGCCTTTAAGAACAACAGTCTGGAGGGCGACGAGGACTGCTTGTTCGCCAACGTGTTACACGCCGCAGCTACCGGCGCTGGGAGAGAGCCGTTGGAGGTTTGCCAGGTCATGGTCTTCATCCACGGCGGTTGGCTTCACGATGGGCAGCGGAGACGAGGAGGTATACGGACCGAACTACTTCATGGACGAGGCTGTGGTGCTGGTGACCTTCAACTACCGACTGGACCGTTCGGATTCTTCACGGCACACGATAAGAACGCTCCCGGCAACTACGGTCTGCTGGACCAGGTGATTGCTGCTGCAGTGGGTCCGGGATAATATCGCCAGATTCGGCGGAGACCCCGCTACGGTGACCGTTTTCGGCGAGTCAGCGGGAGGGGCCAGTGTCTCGCTTTTGGTGCTGAGCCCCCCTGGCGAAAGGCCTGTTCCACCACGCCATCAGCCAGTCAGGTACGGCATTCGCAAACTTTGCGGGCAGGTGGAAAGGCGAAGGATTTCACCCAGAAGTTTGCAGAGCAGCTCAGTTGCTCTGTCGACGATGTTTCCATCATGGTCAAGTGCATAAGGAATGCCCCCTCCGAGGATCTCATGGAGGCTAAAAAGAAATTAGGCCTGCAAGAAATGCTTTTTCATCCACGGGTGGACAACGAATCGGAATCGCCGCTGCTGCCAAAGGATCCGCGTTATCTCATCAATAATGGGGAATTCAACCTGGTTCCATGGATGAACGGCATTGCGGAAGAGGAAGGAGCACTGTTTGCTCCGTTTTTTCTCCGAACCAAATCAGTGGCGGAAGGTGTGTTTTCAGGAAATCCCATTACATGGGGCATCCTAACTGGCTTGATTAGCGAGTTCGGGGCCATTCCGCTGGGACTGTGGATCGGACTCAAACGTGGAGATCGCCAAAGTGATTGACTTCTACGTCGGCAATGCCACACTCAGCCATACCCAACCCTCTGCCGTTCCTTCGAGCTGTGGGAGACCGACTGTTTGTTGCTCCCATGTCGGAGGAGGTGCGCCTCGCGTCACTCCACGCGCCGGTCTACAAATACGTGCTGGATTACAGAGGACCTGGTCGCCTCTCCGCTGCCGAGCTGCTTGGAATTGATGCACCGTACATGGGTCCCTCGCACGGTGATGACTTGGTTGTACCTGTTCAGCAACGCAAAGCAGGCAGCGTACCCGGCCGACTCGCCGACCTACACCATGATCCGCTTCATGGTGAGCCTGTGGACGAGCTTCGCTCGCACCGGTCGGCCCAGCTCAAACCGTCCTGCCGACGCCCGACTGGCCTGTCTTCACCGAACAGAGCCAGCGCCACATGCGGCTCAATGCGGAACCCTCAGTCGGGGAGCGGCTGTTCGAGGAGCGCGTGCGCATCTGGCAGAGCGTCCGTATGAACGAGGCCTGGCGGCACGAGGTGCAAACCAGCTGCCTGCCGGCCGGGGCTGAGTACGGAGCGCGCAGGCGGCGCTCGGCCCCTTAAGCCTTTGATGATTCAGTGGCTGGTGTACGACGCTGAGAACCGAGCCAGGCTGCCGGCAGGTGTTTCAGCAGCCGCTTCCAGTCGCGAGCGCTGACGTGACGGAGACCAGGAGCCCGGCACGCGCTGGTTTTGCCGCAATCTTTTAAGTGGGATGCGTTAAGTGATTGTTAGAAAGTAAGTCTGCCACGTATATGTGGAGCACACGTCGAACTGTCGATTGTGGACACCACTGGAACAATGACTCGAAATAAAAGCTATGAATGGGTACGTTAGCATCTTACCTCGATTAGTTATTCTTAACGTAGGTCGATCGCTGGCCTTGCCACAGCACGCTGAGATGTGCCGTCACCGGGATGTGCGACGTCCGTGACACCATGGGGTGGCTGCTGCCACAGCACGCTGAGTGGTGCCGTCACCGGGATGTGCGACGTCCGTGACACCACGGGATGGCTGCTGCCACAGCACGCTGAGTGGTGCGTCACCGGGATGTGCGACGTCCGTGACACCACGGGGTGGCTGCTGCCACAGCACGCTGAGTGGTGCCGTCACCGGGATGTGCGACGTCCGTGACACCATGGGGTGGCTGCTGACACAGCACGCTGAGTGGTGCCGTCACCGGGGTGTGGGACATCCGCGACATCATGGGATGGCTGCATGTTTTTTTTTCCCGCGTGACCATTTCAGAGTTTCCAAAAAGTTCGTGGATTTATTCTAGCGTGGCTTTGGAGATCCGATGAAGCAGGCTTCTGGTGGTTTCTTGTCTTTGTCAAATGTATGTCTTAATCGATCGAAAATTTTGGTAAGAAGATTGATCCTGCCGTTCCTGACAATATTAATCTCGGAAGTACCCCGCCCGACTGGGGCACGGGCTGAGAGATGAGATACAGACCTGATAACAAAGGGTTGGTGGCGTGGCTTGTACTAGTGAGAGAGGTCACTGGAGGCGACTGTGGTGAACGGACCTGATCAGGTCACAGCAGGCCCCAAACTGGAGTCATTGTGGGTCCAGATCCGCGCTGTGTCTCAAAAAGTTATGGTGTGCTCAATGTGCCGGCCCCCCGAGACAGACGCAGGCCCGAGTCACTGCGGACCTCGGTGAGCTGGAGCAGCAACACCAGAACATACTCGCCTGTCACAGTGGACCCGTCATCATATCTGGTGACATCAACATCAACACCTGCAGCAGCAACGAGAGCACCGCGGCCAGCAGGTTCAGAGAGTCCTCACAGCATACTCTCTGCAGCAGCATATCAGCGGGCCCACGTTCCGGTCATCTAACTCCACCATCGATTGTATATTACAAACGGTGGCGTTGAGCGCGGCCGGCACGCTGCACTGTGACTATAGTCTCCATGACTGGTCACGTGCTCTAGTGCCGCTAGCGGAACCACCGACCTGCGCAGGTGCGCGCTAACGGCGAGATGCTGGCGGTGAAATGGACTTGACTGAGGCGAATCGACGTCTCCAAAATGTGGACTGGGGTCCAGTGTACGGGCAGTGTCGATCCAGGAGGACCAGTGCGACTATTTCCTTGCAGTGACTCGTCCTATCGTTGATGCTTTAGCCACCGACGAGACGTTTTAAAAGTGCGCAATCCTACAGCACCACCTGGCACGGAAGCTACTAAAGACCTGATGGCCCGGCGGCGTGCTGCCACTCCGTGATTATCACCGCGAGACGATAAGGCCAAACCGGCAAGTCAGGTCGGCAGTGCGTCGTGACACACGGGGGGAGATTTGACACGTGTGTACGGAGGGTGACGAACGGGCCCGATGTGGCGCAGTGTGCAGCTTGTCGTCTTATCTAAGCAGCCGACCAGGTCCACACCTAAATGCGGACGCGGATGACATTAACTGGTACTTCGCCAGCATTGGTACAGCGACCGCCCGCCAGGTGGACTCCTCGGGGCCGGAGCTGGCGGTACGCCTGCCGCGTGTGGCCACCGGCCGGTTCCAGGTATCGCCCGTTACACCGGAGCAACTGCGACGCGTCATATGCCCGCATGCACAACACTACATCGTGCGGTGCAGACGAGTGGTGTATCCGGTCTTTCAAACTGTGCATAGACGCTATTTGTCCCGTGATCGCCCAGATTGTCAATTCCAGCCTGACAGCCCAGGTAGTTCCCGATTCGTGGGAGCTGACAATAGTACATCTTATCCAAAAGACCGGCCAAAAATCTACTGGTGTTTCTAATTAAAGGCCTATCTCAATTTACCGACTATCGCTAAGGTTACCAAACGTGTAGTTTACGAGCAGCTGTTTGAATATTTTACCTCTCATCACCTGTTCTCGTATAGTCAACAATGGTTTTAGATCACATCACTCCATTGACACGGAGCTTTTCACGGTAACCGCAAAGTTTTTGAGGCCGTGGATAAAAGGGAAATCACCTTGATATGCCTACTGGACTCATCCAAATGCTTTGATGATATCCCACTGATGGACTCCTTAGACTTAGAAAGCTCCAGCCGTACAATGTTGATGTACTTTGGTTCGCGAACTACCATACTCCAAACCACGTTCACCAGGTTCTCGTCCAGAACCCCCTGGCGCTTCCTCTCTGTCCGTTGGCTTGTGCACAAACCCGATCGGAACCTACCAGGGCTCAGCGCTCGGCCTGCAGCTGTACAGCATTTATGCCAATCATGTGCCGCTGTATGCTCATGACGCATGCATTGTGCAGTACGCAGACGACACGCAGGTTTTAGTGAGTGGGGGAGGCCCGGTGACATTGTACGCTGATCACATCACGGAGCAAACATCTTTCACACCTGTCCAAATGGTTTGGCAAAAACGGAATGCAAATTAACGCACAAAAACACAGCTCATAGTCCTCGGCACGCGTCAAAATCTTCGGAACCTGCCACCGGCTAGCAGCAAATTTATGGGCGCCACTGTAAGCCAGCTCTACTTCCGCTCGAAACCTGGGTGTTGTCTTTGCACTAGTGCATGACGTTTCACTGCGCACATGATGACGTCGTGCAGCGATTGCCCCGGCGCTCTTAGTCGGCCTCAGCCACAGCCGGCACAGTCTGCCTCAGGCCACACTCATTACTCTCGTCCAGGGTCTAGTCATCTCACCCACCCGTTACTGCATCTGTGTGTACGAAACATGTAATGCTACTCAAACATCACGACTGCAGAAGCTGCTGAACTTCGCAGCACTAGTCATCTCTGGGCGTCGGAAATATGATCATGTGAGCGATGTTTTACGAGATCTCGAGTGGATGTCTGCTGACAACATGCTCTTGTATCACACACTGACTTTTCGAAAACGTATCCTGCAAAGATCCCAGCCGGAGTCGCTATCTGATCACCTTATCCATAGACACCATGTTCACCATCGTACAGCGAGGCAGGATGATGTGTTACATGTGCCGGTGATCAGATCCGAATCGGGAGGGCGGCGTTTTGTTTACTCCACCGTGACCGCCTACAATGCACTACCGCAGAAAATTCACGACCTGAGCCTTCCACAATTCAAACGCGAGTCGCGTAGTTATATCATACAGCAGCGGATCAATACAGATAGCGACGCCTACTTCAAATGACTAGCGAATGTGAGAGTGTGTTTTGCGTATGTTTGCCTGTGTGTGTACGTGTTTGCGCGAGCCTCCCTGACCTACAGTGTTTTTATTCCATCGCACGGTTCTGTAATATCCACATTCTGAGTGAGTGGAGCTTATGACGTGTAATAAATAAATAAATAGACTGTACTTTTGGCTTGTCAGTTGTTTTTGGTAACATGAATCAACTAAAACTTTGCCGTCACAACACAAACTGTAGCTGCCGCTTGAGCCTCCGATAGCATGCCCTGCCCATTAACCCAAATTCGACATTTCAGCCTATCCTGCTACACAACAAAATTACATTGAAAAGCTTGCTTAGGCCCGTGGATAGCACTTTTACACTGCATGCACAAAACTAATAGTTGAGACAATCATATTGTCAAATGCGACGGCGCTTTGAGCAGACTTTTGCGCGACGTATTGAAAACTAAAAGCTGGATAACGCTGTTAAAGGACACCCTTTGCACAATTTTGAAGGCGCTCTTACGCTAGGCCAGCTCTATTCCGAAAAATGCGTCTTAAGTCCCTCAGTGTACTTCTAATGAGCATCATTTCCCCTTCCCATTTTTTCCGGCGGGGTGGAGTCTGAATATCTCAGCGTGAAATTGTACGTAAAGTTTGCATCTGCGCTGTAATAAAAAATGCATGAGTGCTGTTTATGATTTAAGCGCGTGTATTCGTGTGTGTATCTACATGTGCGCATGTTAATACATTATGTGACGTGCGTTCTACCAAGGAATAACTGACAACCATATTTCAGGCCAGCGATATGTATCTCTGCATAATGCACGGGAGTCTCTACTTTATGGCGCGGACAGAAATGCTTTGCTTAAGTGTATGGCCTTGATCTAAAATGGCTAAAATTTGGTCGCCATGGGAAGAGGCTGAAAGCTCAGCACAGTTGTAATGCCCGGTGACAAGAACAACCGACGGGACTTGAGAACTGATGCGTGAAAGCAAGAGGTGAGCATGAACCCATTAAGCGGTTAATACGTTAATTGACTTACCTTTTTGCTAACTGAATAAACTATAAATTCTTAATATTTTCCGTTGGAGGTTTAAATTCTTACGAATTTTCCATTGACTTCGGAGCGTTAAGCTTTGTGGGTTGGTTTGGTTCTAGGCGTTTTGGCGATTAGACGGTTCAGGGATACTTATCTATGCGCTTTGGTGGGTATGCGTCTTTTTTCCTTACCCTTGTCTCATACAGTGAGGGGGGTAGATGCTACCCTGTAAGGTTTTCCGAGGATTTCTCTCCAGTGTATCTTTAATATGCCTCAATTTTTCGTAGCTTATGGTTAGCTCGTTATACTGTTTTCACAACCAAAACGATCTTCTGGCATGTTTGGTTTCCGAGTGCCG